TTATATTTTCAATCTTTAAATAAATATAAAAATAATTCAACTAGAAGAAATTTTTACTATTAACTTATTTAAAGATTATTTAATTTCTATACTGATAGTTTAGTAATTAATATTAGTACTAAATAATACTCAGATGTCCTATAGAATAGGTAAGCAAACTCTGCAAACCTTGCAACTCTACTATTAAAAAATTAATAATTACTAATTATTAGCAAAGCTTATTTTTTATATTGCCTATCTATTCTATAAAATATCCCAATACTCAATAGGCATAAGATAAATTTAAGTTGACAATAATAATCAAATTATTATCACAGTTAAAATTAGTTCATTGATAATAATTTGAGCTCAAAATATATTATTCAAGGCATTACAGTTAAAGAATATCTAAATTAAAATAAGAGTTAATATAGTAAAAAATAATAATAATAAGAAAATTATTGTTTATATTTCATATTAAAGTTTAAATTTATAGGTTTCATAATCATATAAATAATCAATCAAATCATGAATTATTAATTAGCTGCGATTAGAAATCCAATTGGTGAATAATTAATAATATAATTATAGATCAATAATAAGGCATAAAAAATGTATAATAAGTTAAAGATAAATATACAATAGTTAAAAGTTAAATATCATATAAGTGTCGTTAAAAGAAAATCTAATAATTTAAATATAAATTATATTTAAATTTTTAGGTTTTCTTTTAATAACACTTATATAATATGTATTAGTAATAAGATAAAAGATGTGATTAATTTAAAGTTAAATATATTATATATAAAAAAATTAAAAATATAATTATGGATAATAATAAGATAAAATATAATTATGGATGATAATAAGATATTAAAAATATAATAAGTTAAAAATAAATATAAAAGTTAAATATTGTATAATATATAGTAAAAGATCTGCAATTAAAATATTCTTTTTCTAATTCAGTAATACAAATTTTGGCCAAAATTTTACTGCGCTGTTGCACTTTTGTTATTTAGTGCACAACCACCTTATAAAGCCTCTGGGATCTCTACAGATTTGTAAACTATATAATCTTAGAAAACATTTTATAAAAAAATTTCAAAGATTTTTTTAAAACTGATTGTTATTTTCAAATAATAAAAATGCTTTTGTTTTTTAAATTGAAATCGATTTTAAAATACTCTTATAATATATTTGCAAATCATTTCCATATCACGAAAAATCACTGACTGAAATAGTAGTAATTTTGGTTACTATTACCAAATAAAAATATTAATAAAGATATAAGCAAAGTCTTATCTTAATACCAAAAAGTATACCTACTACTTAATTTATATATAATAAGATAAAGCTATCTTTAGTACTCAGATATTTTATATTTCTATATATAATTAATCAGAATTCAGTACCCAGTGTATTTTATATTTCTAGTGTTATTTTTAACTTATCCATCTTTAGTATCCAAATATAATATATTCTTGGCATCTAAAATTTATAAAAAGTATTATAAAAAAACTTTTAGTCCATACTGTATAGACTTATTCAAAACTATTTCTTATTATACATATTTAAAAAAAATTTATATGTGTCAGAATCTATATATAATGTGTACCTCACTCACATTCTTGATGCTGTATTTTAGACACTGGTACTAGTATAATAATAAGGATTGATAAAAGAGTTCAGGAGTAAAACTTTGTAGTTCTAGACAAAATCTAAAAGCAAAAAAATTAGAATTTTTGTTAGTACAAGAGTATTTAAATCTCTTAGTTAACTTATTTGATTTGAGAATCAAGCATAGCCATTAAAATTATTAATAAACCAAGCATAACCCAAAATTAATCCTCCTTAAAAACTCAAAATTATAAATCCAATGCTTTGATTTTGTATAATAATCCAAAATTTTTAATGTTTAAAATACTTATAATAAAACTTATATATATTTCTTGTACAAAAAATAGTCAATTGTTTTGTCTAATTAAGCAATCAAAATCTAATTAGTAAATCTACCAGTAATGATAGCTACTGAAGTTACCACCTACCAGTAGTTACCAATAGAATCATAACAAATTGGAAGACTTTATATCACTACATATACTAATAAGATTCAATAAATTAGACTAGAAAAGAATTAAAAAAAAAATTAAAAAAAGGGTGAAAATAAATTTTAAAAAAAGTTCGAGACCAATCCCATTGAAACTATGAAACTATCCAATGTCAAAATCATGAACAATCTATTGATAAAGTCAAGAATTTTCTACTGTTAAATTCTAATTATCTACCAGCGAAGTTACAACTATGTACTGCTGAAGATCGAACAAACTAGACCAAATAGATTAAAAAAAAATTAAAAAAAATAAATAAATAAATAATTTAGAAAAAGGATTGAGACCACTCACTATTAAATTATGAACCATCTACTATTGAAGCACTAATAATCTAGTGTTGAAATCACGAATTTTCTATTGTTAAGTCATGAATCGCCACTATTGAAATTACAAGTTTTATTAACTAACGTCAACGAATATTCGTTCTTTAATCTAGGTTTCTTCTAAATCCTTATTAAAACGCTCTGTGTAGATTAAAACCTACAAGAGTAATAAAATACAATTAATATTGCAACTTAACAATTATAGTAGGCGACGTTGAAATCCGGAAGATCGGCATATAAAATCTAAGTACACAATATGTTCAATGAACATTGTGCATATTTTCCCGAATATCTTACAGATTAAAACAGCTGCCTTTTCCAAATCTCAACATCATCCAGATTTCCGACAACAATTATAGTATTTATTAACCTGATCTTTTTTAATTTTTTCCAACGACGAAATACTGATATTCAGAATTTACGAATACTAAGCTGTAATTACGGAATAAAAAGGTTTCGTAGCATCCAAATATTTAGGTAATAGTCAAATATACCTGATACGCTAGCGGCAGGTAACCCATCAGTCAACTCAATTCCAGTTTCTTCATAAACATCCATCAGCTTCCACATTGTGATTTTTTCACGATGGTCAGGTTGTGACAGATATGAATTCCCTGATATTTAACACTTATCATATCTCCTAATGATAAGTATTCATTTGGACTAAATCCCCACAATTCTTTTCGTATATCTTCATGTAAGCACTCTTTTGTCATGATTACATTATAATCGATATTTCTGGAATTTTTGGCACAATTCTTCGGTTCCAAATATTCCTACAGCAAACAAGCCTAGATAAACTGATATGCCGGAATCTTTAGGCGCAAAAAATCAGAAAGGCAAAAGTATGGATCGCCAGTTTCTTTATGAGATTGTTGACTATTTATTAAAGAATATATTAGATACTATCGATAAAAAAACAATCTTAGCATTCATTTTAACAAATACGAATACCTCAAACCAAAGAACGTTGCAGAGACTTTAGAACGTGATTCATCCTCATAAACCTATGAAGTTAAAATTTTGTTACAATATAGAAAGTCACATAAAGATATACAATAAATTGCTTAAATCAACATACTTGGATATCATCATCCACACTAATGGCTACATAAAAAATTCAAATAGTTAATATTTTACAAGAAATTTTACATAACATTTATGTATAAGGGTAAGTCCCACAATTCTCTTAGCAACAAACAACTTTTCATCAATAATCTTTTTAATCAAAAGTAATTCTTCTTCGTATAATTTTTTTGATTCCGTGCCTAACTTCATCCATGTAACGAAATGTAAGCATCAAATTGAAATAAATGACTAATATTTATCTTAGTCTAATGCTAATAATAATACTTACCAACATACTCATCGTTAAAAATCTTTGGAAAACCACGATTGAGATATCTTCTACTAATTCACGAAGAATATTCATTAAGAATTAATTTACCTTTCATCCAAATTTCATCCAAATTTAATCCAGTAAATTTCTTACCAAACTTGGAATTTCATATCATATTCATTAATAACTTTCTTCCCAATGAACGACGGCTTTACTGGTGATGCTTGGGTTTCCAATCTATCTTAAATCGTTGCTCTCTAGCGGCTTTTAATGACAAATGCTTTTTATCTATTAATGAAGAATAATGGTCTTCACGAATTTCTTCATATTCTTTTGATATATCTTCCCAAAAGTCATTTTTCAATTTGGCATCTAAAAGACTTGATATCAGATTTAAGGTTTATTATTAGCAAATTCTGTTGAACCGACATTAAAAAGAAATGCTGAAAATATGTTACCACAACAACACTCCTTGAAGCATCTAATACATGGATTGTTGGTTGGGTATATCTTGGTGAAATTTTTACAGCTGTATGAGCTTGGATGTTGTAGACCACCAATCAATAATGGAATCTGTAACGTTCATAATTGAACATAAGTGTAAATAAAAATAAAATTTTATAATCAAGACATTCACATTTAAGCCACATCTTTCCATTTCTTTAGCAACATGTATCATTTCATCTGAGGATGATGTAATCAATTCTGACAGACCAATAATATCTGCTTTCTCATTAAGAGCAATTCAAATTTTTTTCGCATGGAGTCACCACACCTAAATCTATAACCTTTTAAAAATCAAAATCATGTTAAAACGATCTTGGACTATTATTAAAAACAAAAACGAAAAAAATTACCTTATAATTATTACAACCAAGTACGACCCCAACTATGTTTTTGCCAATATCATGAACATCTCCTTTCACTGTAGCCAAAACTACAACACCAGCATGTTGCACCTCCGTTAGCTGCAAACTTAGCTTGACGTACGGCTTCCATAAATGGGATTGAATGTGCAACGACTATCTTCATAACACTGGGCAAAGATGAAGCAAAAACATAAAATTTATATAAACAATAGTTTTCACGTTTAGATAAAAGGTTTACCGTGCGGATTTAATTACTTGAGGCAAAAACATTTTGCCTATGTATAGCAAAAGCTTAAATCGTTGTTGATACGTAAAATAGTTTGATTTTATTACATTAAAGTTAACAAACCTGCACCAAACAAATCACCAATAGTACTCATCCAGCCATCAATGGTCCTTCAATACATCCAATGGTCTAGGTAGTTAAAATTTAGAATAAAAATCAATAATTCATAATAAAAAATACTAACAGCTGATCCGGATAAGATCAGCAAAATTTTCATATTAGGACACTGGAATCTGACCAAACTTACTATAATAAAAATTTTTTATTAAGTGAACGTAGCTATGTTTCTAATCACAGTTGTAAAATAATGACAAAATATCTTTGCGATCATAATAAAATTTTCTTTGAACAATTGCAAAGAAATTTTATATCACAAAAACATTTTTATCATCTTAAGATTTCGGACTGATTTAAAAAGCTATCTATCAAAGTGACTTTTGTCAGATAAGTTTGCCACAAATCCTAATATGGTAATTATCCTGGTCGGCATTAATTTTGTTAAACTAACCAGTTGTCTCGCTTCCTTAATATCCTCGATTATATACTTTACGACACCTTTAACCAAAGTATGATAAATTCTCGATTGTACATCACCCTTCCTCCATTCTTCTTCAGTATCATCTTTTTTGGTACCTTTTTCAAATTTTTGCGCATATGATAAAATTTTTTCAGTGACATCAGGATCTCTGTTCCATACTGCATCGTCACATAGCTATAGTAAGTCTTTTGGGATATCATCATAAATTGTCAAAAATCCTGCATTTACAATTCCCATATCAAGACCTGAATGTAACAGGCATTAAGAAATTTGGAAATTGGAAATTTAAAAAAATAATACATAGTTAACATTAAACTTGCCAGCTTTAATTGCATGATACAAAAGCACACTATGCATTTCTTCTCTAATTTTATCCATTCCACGGAAAGAAAATGATAAATTCGAAATACCGCCACTGATCCGAAACACGTCATTTAAAATATATACAAAAGAAATGATTAATTTTTAATAAATAAATCTTATTTGCTTATATCATTGTTTATTTATATCATTGTTTATTTATATCACCTTTGCACCAGGTAATGTTTGTTTTATTACTCTAGTAACTTCGATAAATTCTTCGATAAATTCTACAGCGTAATTGTTATGTTCTTCTACCCGTGCAAATTGTCAGGATATTCGGATCTATTTTTGGAATAATAAATTAATTTAGATATCATAATTGTAAAAGAGAATTTGATAAGCATACCAAAAATAATATCATTAGAATTAAATCCAACTTTTTCTATCAAGTTCTTATACGATCTGGTGCATATTTCAACATCAAACTGTCATTATTCGTTATTGTCCGTTGATATAACAGTAATTCGTGAGAAATATATGTATTTAAAAAAAATTCATGAAAAAAATAATGCAGTATAATAAATACAATAAATGCTTTGTTAAGAAACTTACAGCCATACAAACAATAGCAGCACCAAATCTTCGAATAATCTTTGCCTTTTTAATAAAATCGGCTCCACCTTCCTTCAAACTGATACTATTAACTATGCCATTTCCTTGTGCACATTTTAATCCAGCCAATATTACATCAAAAGTTGCAGAGTCTACCATAATAGGGACCTAAATTTAAAAATAAATTTATTAAATCGTTTTAATAATAACATATAAAAAAAAATAAGAAGAAATTAAATTCCAAAATTTTGTCATCGCAGCTTTCCCAGCTCTTAAGCTAAATAAATTATAAAATAAAGAATAAATAAAAAAATTGAAAGAAGTCGATGAAAATAAATTTTTTAAAAAAAGATTGA